TTGAAACACTCTTCTAAGATTCAATAAGAACTGGACGATCGACATCTGTTCAATTCAGTTCCGGACAGGATGTTAATCATCATCATCATCAATATCAACACGGGACCAGGCATTACTGCATAACGATCCGAGTTACCGCACCTCATATCAGTACATCAAGTAAAAGGCAGTGAAGTGGAAGGTGAAGAGAAAAAAATTCAGTCAAAACAAATATAAAGTACGGAAAGAGAGAAAGAAAGAATGAGAAAATGGTGAGACTCGGTACAGCGTCGTTAAGATGAGGATAAAGTGTGTATACATCTGCGCCACTGACATCGGCTCTGAGCTATATCATCCAGAGTCTCCAACCACTGCATCGCCCCACATGGCTTAACAGCCAAAGACTCCATACATTGATGTCATGTCTTAGTCTGACCACCTTGGGCCTTTTTCCTGCCTGAACCTACTTCGGCCAACATCGTGTGACAAGGTAATCGGTGACTAGTCACACGTAACACGTGTACCAATCATCTCAGTCGTTGAAGGTTCACAACCATGTCAACTAACTTACCTCATCTCCTTCTCCCTAAAACTCTACACCTGACTTCTGCGTTACTCACATGGTGACACCACGGAATACGGTTGATACTACGAAGGGAACGGTGGTCAAACACCTGAAGTCTTCTCATGTCTTCCACCTTCAATGGCCATGTTTCACAGTCATACAGTGAACAGACCGGACTGCAATGCAGTACATACGACCCTCAATAGACAATCGGATATTGCCGCGGCGCCACAGGTGGTGTAAGTTGGTGAAACCCAGCGGAACGTTTTGTATTCGTGCAGAGATCTCATCAGCCAGTGGGCCACCAGAGCAGGGCTGATCCTACTTCCCAGGTAAGTGAAGTGATCGACACACTCAATCACCACACTCTATTATTAGCCGTGGGACTGTTGAAGACCAATCCTGTAGCAACAATTTGCATTTGGGTGGTGAGAAACGCATCCCAAACATTCTCAAATTGCCACTCAAACTGTTCAGAAGACTATGCATCTTGTCACTGTCTTCACCTAACAGGAATATGTCATCTGGGTATTCTAGGTCTAGCGAAAATTCTCCTGAGGTTGGGTCAACCTCTGTGTAACCAGGTGACCAGAGGGAGGCCTCCATAAGAATATCTATGATAAAACTGAATAAGAATGGAGAGAATGGGGAGCCTTGACGGGCACCGCTTGACGAGTATAGCTACCCAGATATTTCACCATGGGCTCTAACACGCCCACAAGTGTTCGAGTAGAGAGCCTTCAATAAGGTCATTTACTTACTCGGCCCGCCTCTCAGTGAGAGACATTGCTATGAGACTTCTCGACCAACGGAGTCGAATGCCTCCTTGAGGTCCAGAAATACAGGTAGTGTTTTTTCAGGCTTGCTGTTCCCGAGCTTCACTCAGGCGTCGAAGAATTATAAAACCTAGAATTTTAGATACTGTGTTCGTCAGGCTGATTCCTTTGTGGTTATCACAAGACGACTTCTAGTCTTTCTTGAAGACTGGAATAATCAGTGATTTAGACCAGTGAGAGGGGAGCGTATTTGATTCCCATAAACTAGCTAACACTTCCGTTAACCTGACTAAGAACCCCCCATCGCCATCCTTGTATACCTCTAGAATTAGTCCGTCTGATTCTGCCGCCCTTCCTCGTTTCAGGTTACCTACTGCTTTCTCGACTTTTGCTAGTGTTGGGAGGCCTATCTCAATGTTTCACTCGGGATCCAACTGGACAGTGGGTAACGCAATGGTGGCTGGAGGCCAGTTAAACTGTTTCTCGAAGTATTCTGCCCATCGTTCTAGTCGTCTCCCCTGAGAGTGAATAGCAGACGCGTCCTTTTCCGCTATGGTCTCAGTAACTGTTGTTGACCTTTTCCCCTAGTTTCCTCAATAAGTCTAAATAACTGTCTACTGTTACCAGTCGGTGCAGCCTTTTCCATCTCTTTAGCCGTCGCTGCCCACCACTGTTCGTGGTCGTTGCGTAGACTTTTTCTCAACCTACTTTTTAGTTGCGCTAGCTCTTCATCGTACTCAGAGCCTGCAGGGATGCGTTAACGTGCATCCATTAGTTTGGAAGAAGCTGCTCATATCCACTGGCTCTTTTTAGCTACTCTTTCGGAGTCGGCTACGGCTTTCAGCGCTGCCTTTACAGTAGACTGTAGATAGCACTAAGCTTCTGGATGAGTAATACTCTTTTGTTTCGATAACTGCCCAGCCAATTTCTCACTGAAAAGTTTTTACGTTCATTAAGACGCAGGTATATACGTGCTCGGACCAACGCGTGGTCTCTATCAGAACATGTACGCCAGAAGCAACGGCAGCCTTCTAACGATCCTCTCCAGCGACGACTAGTAGTAATGTGGTCTATCTGTGTCCATCGCCGAGTTGAGCTGGGTGGACGCCACGTCAGACATTATCTTTTTTTATGTCTGAAATTTGTGCTAGCTAAAATTAGGTGGTTATCTGAGCACGTATGTAGTAGGTGATCACCGTTATCTGTTCGTTCAGCCGGGATTCCAAAAGTGCCACCTAAGTGCCTTTTTACTTCACTCAGTCTATCCACATGTGCATTGAAGCCACCTACAACAACCTACACATATGAACGTTTGGCTTTCGAGAGTAGGCTAGACACTTTACGCTAGAACTCATCCTTCATTTCATCCGAACAACATTCAATAAGCAGAGATTACAAAGAGACAATGGCGAGTCTCACTATTCCTTTTAATGCTCACTGTGCCGTTCAGCCTCATAGCGCAGAGGCGACTATCAACTGCTATCCAGTCTAGTAGCGAGCTTTCTGTCCTAGTGTTTAATGCTGTACCTATACCTGCAAGACCCCGAGAGCTAGCTTTCGAATCTCCAGAAACTCGAAGAGTGAATTTTGGGGATTCACCAGATTGGCCGGGAGAGGTTAGATGAATAACCGTACTTAGGTCCTGTATGCGTGTCTCAAAAACACAGCACACATCCATAGCCCGAGTTGCCAAAGTCTTTGCCAACGAAGCCTGTTGACCAATTTGACGGAGGGTGCGGATGTTGGAGGCTCCAATACGTAATTTGGAGCGTGGTTTAAGAACATCAAAGGTGCAGTTTTGTGGACTCGGATCGTTGTCAAGGGCTGTAGAGCTAGGAGAAATTGAAGATGATGTAGTATCGTTAGCTGAGAGACGTGAAGGAAGATTAGAAGGTAATGATGGGGGAGGTGGATGGCAGTCTCAGGAAACTTGAGTGCTGACAGAGTTGTGAAGGCGGTTGACACTTCCAGGCTGCCCACACCGTGGAAGGCTATTTCTTCTTAAGGTACCTGAAAGAGATTTGTGGCCGCAGAGCCTGTTGGACATCTGCTTGAGGCATGTCACAGGCAGCCTTTTGTGTATGGTTATTTCGGGGCCAGATAGTCGAAAAGAAACGATAAATGAATTAACACCGCCGACCCGGCAGACTGTGGGGATAATGAAGTGTGTTATTATGGGGGCCGAACTATTCCACCCCACCTCCCCCTCTTCCACTGAGAAGGCAGCATCAGCATGACACTGCTGGTCATACAAGGGAAACACCTTACTGCTTTCACCCCATCCAGCTAGCAGCAGTATGACTTCGTCCTGAGACCCCCCATCATATTGTAGCAATTTACAACACAACGGTAACTGCTTTTCGTCTAACCACTATCTAACAGACCTTCCTGGTATGGTAGGACCTCGAGGAAACAAGTATCCCACCAGTATAGCTCGTCGGATCAGTGTGATATGCAAGCCCGACCAACACACCAAGGTAGCAGCTGTCGGTCCGGACAGGATTCTAGGAAAGTGAAGCGTTGCTGTGGCATAGTTGAACTGTGTCCGAACATAGTGAGCTTGTTAAGGAAGTAGATGAGCTGCGTACGTTTAGTGGTGTCTGTCTCTTCCCTCATTCAATTTTGTCATAGTTGGGACTGTGGAAGTTTCTCTCTGTTCTTCTAACGTTGAAGGGGATAACCCGATCATGATTGACTCCTCAGTAGATCTAGAGTACACAGATGACATAGTCCTGTCAAGTGAAGATGCAGTCTTTTGGAAACCTTGAGTGACAATTTGAAACTGAGATTCGTTTTTCACTACTGGAAATGAGAATTGTTGCTTCAGGAATGGTCTTTGTTAATATCTCGTCTAACATTAGGTGAAATGGTTGAGCACGTTGATTACTTCACTTGCCTGAGACGTCAAATCAATCATGGCAGATGGGTAACTGGCAAAAAATTTTCGTGGATACAGAAAGCTCACAAGGGCTGCCAATTTAGGTCATCTATGGCGCTTCCGTGATATCTAACTGTCCATGAAGGGCAGAGTGTACTGGGTTGACTTCGCTACCTGAAGGCTGCGAAACATAGCAGTTAGGTAATTTGAGGAGGTTTCAAGTGTTTGTCTCCTTTATAGCACAAGTCGTGTGCCATGGTGCGAGGTGTAGAGTTTTGGGCGGAAATTCGTTTGAATTTGTGAACCTTCATCGACTTAGACGGCTGAGGCAAGTGTTGGGCATGCTTAGGTTTAGTCTGGGAAGACGTTCGGGATGGCCAGTACATAGCATCAGTGCATGAAGACTGACCGTTGGTCTGAGCTGTGTAAGAGGATGCAGACTTCCCAGTTGGAATCTGTGTGCGAACTTCAAACCTGATTTCTCTATTTTTTACTTCTGCAAAATCTACCTTGATATGCTGACACGAGGTGTGGTAGTTTGGACTGTCACGCAGTTATGCCAGGTTCTATCATGATTGATTAGTTAGTACTTTACTACTGCTGTACGATTATCATGTAAAAATCTTATCGTGTCTAAATTACTGTCAAGACATTCAAAAATGGAGGCAAAGTCGACTGCTCTACATGAAGCATGTGTGTATAGGAAGATGGTATGATTGATGCACAACGAATTACTCATACGTTGATCAAAACTTTGTATGACAGATGCTTTAAAAAGTGAATACTTCATCTGAAAACCTACCAGTTTGAGCCTTTTCGTTCGCTCATAAATATAGGGGGAAAAAGGCAAAGCTGATATGAAGCGGCCAGCACCCTGGGACACTCTGAGTTCCCCATCCTCTAGGACAACACGACCAGCAGTAATCACGAAAACAGGTACTCCATGACACTGAACACCTTCGAATATGTTGAAATCGACATTCTCATGGTTGGTTTTCACTGATATTGTACGTGTTGCATCCCCATCCCAAATAACCAAATCTGCATCACTTCCGACTTCTATTCGCCCTTTTTGTGGATAAAGATTGAAGACTTTAGCAGCATTCGTACTTGTTACAGCAACGAATTTGCAGGGATCCATGATACCTGAAATCTGATAAAAGCAAACAAATTTAGTTCAAACTTCAAAAAACACTCCACATAATAACTAACAGTGTATATCACTTACCACTCCTTTCTCCCAGACAAGTGACAGCCGATCCTCTACTCCATTGACTCCAGAAGGAATTTTGCGGAAGTCGTCCTTGCCTATAGCTTTTTGTTCAGCCTTAAAAACACAATGACCACTGGCAGTGCATTCAAGAACACCAGTAGCGACATAATGCATTAATTCGTCAGGTGTATTTGGATTAGCTCTCAGAGGGGGAGATAAAACATAACCTGCAGCATGACGCCAGCAATTGTGCTTGTAATGATTACCATCAGCACCAAGTGCAGCGGCCAACGTTTCACCCACAACAATGTTTCCTCTCCAGCGCGCCTCGCAAATGTGATGGGCTGCTTTAGGGCTAGTCACCTGAAGTATATATACAGGACAACCAGCAGCATCCGCAATAGAAAGCGCTCGATGTGTAGCTTCAACCTCGGCCTGTAAAAGTAAAGGACATTTAGTGGGTAAATTTTTCTTTACTTAGAGTGCTTAGTCAAAAACAGATTTCGAAAATTTTTGGTTAGATTATGAACGATATTGATGCAACAATTTGCACTTGGGTGGTGAGAAACGCATCCCAAACATTCTCGAATTCCCACTCAAAGTGTTCAGAAGACTGCATCTTGTCAGTGTTTTCACCTAACAGGACTATGTCATCTGGGTATTCTAGGTCTAGCGAAAACTCGCCTGTGATTAGATCAACTTCTGTGTAGTCAGGTAACGAGACCATAAGTTCATCCGGAAACTTAACAAATGTACTTACCACAAAACAACTTAACAGAGTGAGGTGTACTACTTAAGGTATTTCGATAGTTTCCAATCCTTTTTGTTGACAATTTGCACTAATTAGTCTTTGGTTACTATTTCACACAAGTCTGAAAAATTTTCTTATAGGCTCGAGTGTACCACTGCATCATTGTTTTTGAAAGCTTGAAGAACCCAGAAATTTTTTTCTTAATGCCTAACTCAACGTGTCAAGCTACGGAAAGTTGGATTAGGTTGGAAGAGGGCTCAGGGTGGCCAGACCAACACATAACACCAGTCAATGAAGTCTCTTACTGATCTGAATCCTGCGTGACGATGTAGACTGCTTGGTTGGGGTCTTCGAGAAGAAAGGAATCAGTGGCAGAGGACTTCTGATGACTTGGCTGAAAGTCGGTCACAATGACATCTAACGCTTGAATATTCACACTAACCTTTATCTTCACTTTGTTGATTCTCTCACACCACTTCACTTACTTTGATATCATTCCTTTTCGATCCACCTGTTCTTTGTGTACTGCTGTAATGTTGCAACTTGAGCTGATTTACCTTTGTGCGACGTTCTACGTTGATTTTGTTACAGTCAGTCTAACGAAGGGGAATACCAACTGATCGCTTTACGTTTGCTATGGTATCAAATTTATGGTAGGCTGAAAAACAGAGTACTCAAATAACTGGAACCACTGACAAAAACAACCACCTCAACTAAGACTTCCTGCCGTTCACTTCCACACTAGTTGTGTCCATGAAGGGTATAAAATATAATTGATGATAGTCTTAATGAACTATCCACGGGCTTCATTTGATCACCATCAATATGCAGTGTGATTAATATCCATACACATTACATCAGCCATTTACTTAAAGAGGATGTTAACCTCAAAGCCTTGTCTAATTGAGTTTATTTACAACGGAATTAAAATGAAGTTAGATGGAAATGGAGAAAGACGTATGCTAAAAATTAGCGAAATCTGACAGTTAAAACTGTTGCGTTTGAGGCGACGGGCTTGCAGGACCTATTAGTAACTGAGTGGGAACTTAGTACCCTACGCTACAGTTTAAATTTGTGATCCACTGTTTGAAACCTAAGTAGAAAATTTAGTATCAACTCTATGGATAAGAGCGGAAAAATGGGAATGAAGAAAAAAATCTGTAATGGGGATACAGTGAGTAAACTGCGCCATTGTTATCAGGATGAGAAATGAACTGGGATTTTTAATTGACCAACCGATACTAACAACTATCGGCAAATGTTATGTTTTCAAGAGACCTGTGAAGTTACAACTCACCATCTCTGGGTGTGCATATAGACAGCCTTCGGGACCCGTTATGCCATCGTTATACATTTTGGACTCTAAAATTTTAACTAGTTTTCCATTCTCTGCGTGGACTTGAAGAACTGCACCAAGATCCCTACACCTTTTAGAAACTTCGAAGAGATCACCATCATCCATCAACAGACCGCATACGTCAGACAAGAAAACTCTGAATGAATTAACCCCTTTCTCTTTGACCAATAATTCCATCTCCTTAGATATTTTGGCGTCGTATTGCGGCACAATAATGTGCACTGCATAATCACAACAAGCTTTAATGTCTGCTGACTGACGACACTTTTCATACATATCCAACATTGAAGTAGACTGAGTAGGTGCGATACAATTGACTAAAAAATGGGTGACATAAAGTGACACAAACTTATGGTAGTGGTGCCACCAGCAAGCGCTGCCCTGGTACCAGAGTAAAAGTCATCTGAAGTGGCCTGTCCAAAACATGATGATTCAAAACAAGTATGAGGATCAACACCACCTAAAGAATTCAGAAGTTATATTGGTGTAGATTGAAAGACCTGGGATAACCAATTTCCCAGAGGCATCAATAACCCTAACACCCCCTGGAATAGAGAGCTGGCTACCAACTTGTCTACACAAAGTTTAGAAGAATTTCTACGTACCTGATAACACCATCTTCAATGTAAATGTCAGCAACGAACATCCTATCATCGTTGACCACTTTGCCACCTTTAACAAGCAGACGATTTTGAGAACTCTTTTAAAAGCATTAAAAACTTATGTTTCTTGCCTGTAGATGCATTGGGAGTTTCTTAACTCCAACTTGAACACGAGACTCATTCATTGCCAAACAGATGTAACAACACTTTTAAACTGACGCGTATGAACGCCATAGCTTTCGCATTGGAAACCATTGTCCAACATCCAACAAAAATGGTGCGAGTCGAAGAAAACTGTAGTTTTTGAGCCATCGATTCTGGGTCTTATAGAATGGTTATTTTTGTTCAGCAAACAATTTTCAAATGTTTACACTAGGTATTGTGTGAGCGGTAAATTGCGTGGATTCGAATGTTTGATACTGAAGTTCTATTTTGAGCATGGAGTTTTCATCCTGGTTACTTCTCAGCGTGATTCGTTGGAAGAAGAAGAAGAGTAACAGCAGCTCGTATCTGCATCAGAAAATAAATCTCCTGGGTAAACAACCTATAGTTCAATCATATTCGACACTTTCTGAAGTTGAGGGTCCTAACGAGCTTGTTTAGCGGAACCCGAATGGTTATATATGCATCCCATCCGGTATCATTTCACCTTGCAAGAGGAAGAAGAAGTAAGTAGGGGAAGTGACTGTTTTAGCGGTTTCAGCATAAAGCTGTTCAAACAAAAACGCATTCAAAACTTTTATGAGCACTCCTAGTGCAGTTTGGTAGTTGAAATAGTTTGTTGGGTTAGTAAGATGCAAAACAGAAAAACCAAAACTATTGCCAATAATGGAGGCTTATCAAACTGCAATGTAAGTTCTACAAAGACTTTTCAGATAGGGCGTCGCGTATCATGGTGGCAAATCACATTAGGTTAAAAACAGAAGTGGAACAAACATGTATATAAGCTGCGTAAGAAGTGGACAGAATAAAAAGGGGTGGTTTAGAAGCGACCAAACACACAAAGCTAAGAACAGTCTTCATTTTAAAATCGTAAGCGAAGAAGAGGCTAAGCAACCTAATTTTGGTAGCACATATAAAGTTTTCCCAGATAGGTGCTAGTAGCTCTGTCTTCTCTTCATAAGCGAGTCGCTTTACCGATTCTACTGTTCTTTTTCTCTCTCTTTAAGATTGATGTTCTACACTGTGCTTCCCCTTCACGATTGTTTAAACATTTGGACCAAGCTTACTGGTTATTGGTAGGATTTGACGTGCATTTCATACCTAGCTGGTACAAAATTGTTTTCGAATTCGGTTTCTTAACCGTGGGTGTTAAAAAGTACAACAAATTAATGGTTGGTGTCTGCACCTGTCTACGGAGTGTTTGCAAATCACAAACTGCCATAGTGAGCATTTGCTAAGGGATGAATGAGTATAGTTTGTAACGAAATACAATTGATCACCTAATTGATCCTATGACAGGTATTGGATTTCCGAATGAATGCTCCTGGTAATGAAGCCATCACTACCTCCTCCAGCTTTGAAATTCCATGCCTAAAATTCTCAAACTGATAATTGCCTCTACCCATGATTGATTCCACAAGGATTTCCGTCTGAATAAGATTTGAAAGAATTCCGCTGAGTTTGGTAGTGCTGCGAGCAAAGTGGTGTCATGCTCATCACCATACCTGCATATCTCTGGACTTGTTCAGAGGGAGCAAATAGTAGCCATATTCGTTTCCTGATGTGGTTGAGCATACAAGCTGCAGACCTTTTTGTTCGCTGCTGATTCTAAAACTACTCAATTTCTTAGAGAGAAGATGGGGATTCCATGAGCACCACCAAAGGACGTAAACCAACTTCCCTCGTGCTGCGTTCACAACCCGAGAATACAATATTTATTTATTCATGTCCAAGACTCTTAGAGCTTCAGGGCAAGATATCTTGAGTTGGACCACCTTAAGTTATAACATCGCACCCGAGTTCTTTCTGAAGTGCTTATGTTATTCCCATTATCTTCGTTTGCTTACTCCATTTTACGCTGCATCATCTTGGGGGCCTGTGAACACTTTAAGATTATTTCACTGGGTTTGTTTAGGCATGATTACAGGTGACTAGCGTCCGTGAGTTTCATATGTTCCTCAAGGCCTTTAAACAATTGGTGCGTTCCAGTGAGTGAAGTGGGAAAAAAACTTAGTATTTTATAGGTGGTGTTTGAAAGCAACGAAGAACCTGCAAGTGTTCCCAGGATATTCTAATGAATATAGTGAAGCCCTCACACCTAGTGACCTGTTCTGATGATGCTAACAACCAGAAATCTGTGAGGCATAGGAAATCTGTTTACTCTTCTATAGGCTTTCAACGAATCCGTAGGTCCGGTTTGGATGGTCCACTATGCTTATTAGCCAAGTGCCATTAAATAATTACTCAAGTAATAACCTTGGTTAGGACCCAATAACGTGTGTGTGTGATTACACGGGATTCTGTAGCAGTTAGGTTCAAAGTTATTTGCTTTTTAGCAGGTTCACGACTTTTCTAGATGACGGGAGTAAGCAATCAAAGTTGCACGAAAACGTCGAAGCCTAGCTACCTGGTAAGCAAGTGATTATTCTGCTTCCATCTTCTATTCCAGGTGGCGGCTAACTTTCCTTCAAGATATAATAGTTGATAGCGCTTTTATATTCCATTGGTATGTGATGCTTTATTTTCCTGATAAGTTCTGGCACCTCATTTTATTTTGTCAGTAGAGTGATCTTGTATGCAACATAATGTTTTCTTAGAGAATGACAGCATAAAGATCTGCACAAATTCCCGAATATTCCACTGATCTACATCCGACTAAGTCGGGGTGATTCCAGTGTATGACTTGTGGCTTATTGTCCCCTACCATTCAGGTTATCCCCATGAAGTATCACTTCGAGGCCATACTGTAGAGTCATCCGAAAGAGACTGAAGGTCATAGAGGTCATGAATGTGAACCTAGGTGGATATAGGAAGTGAGATCCGCAGACTATGCACTCTCCACTTCAAAGAACCCCCCATTATTCAATGACCGGGATTGTAATCAGTAACCCTTATCATTCATTACGGCCTATAAGACGGTGGATATTCATTTCTAGCTTGAAACTATCGACTATAAGCCGAACTCCACTTTTGTGGCAAAGATTTTCACTGGTTGGTAAATAGGCACAGTAAACAGGAGCCCACATTCCGCAGGTTTGAGTGAAAACTTGGTATGCTAGTCATAACCTATGATAGGGTGGTGCGAAGAGATTGGAGTGATTCAATAATCCCTCGGAGAAAGCACTGGAGGGTCACTTGACTTATTAATTTCCTACTCTAAGAACCGATTATAATGGCTGTCTCTACCAACAACACGGGTCCACTGCTTGTATCTCGCTATTCAAGTACTGTTCTATGCACAAAATTATGAAATCTAGCGGAAAAGCACTGCACATTTGCAGAAGCCCCGTGAACACCGTAAGATGTGAAAATCTTGTTGGCCATCACTGCAAAATTTGTGAAATTTTTAGTGTCATGAAAGCTGGTGAAGCGCAAGCTGTTATACTCCAAAGCTTTATCGTTATAAGCGTGAAGCTTGCGCAGTGTGGTAGAATGTGATTTCATTTCTACTAATATCACAGATTTATCACACAGTGTAACAGTGTGGCTTACTGGATTACTTTCAGACGTTACCTTCCATGCTCACATCGAGGCGACCACACAACTTTGAGATATCCTTTATTTGGTCCTGATTTTCCATCCTTCGTGGGATGAATTGTAATATCATCCATATGTCTGGAACAGGTGCTGAGTCAGTCCTGTCGCATGTGTTAGGTGTTGATTTGATATACGAAGATTCGGTCACCAACCTTTTCCTTCACTCTGCTAGTTTTATTTTAATGACTTTCACCCCATCCCATCCTATTGTATGACTGTGTGCGATCGCATGCATAGTTGTGGCTAAGCTTTTTCCTAAGTTCTTTACCCTACCAGGATCTACCAATTTTGATCTAGCTAGGTTTTCGTGTTCGAAAAGACTAACTGACAACAGTAAGCTACTTCGACCCATGTATTTGACCTCGCAGCCGTTGCAAGGAATTTGGCAAACTAGGTTATCCCGCTTCAAATGATCGATAGAATCTTTTAAGCCACAACGCTTATTTCGAAGTGAGTTTTTAAGTTTAAATGTCAGTCTGATCCCAGCCTTATTGAAAATCCTACTAAGTGTTTCTTAAGTGCCTTCTTTACTACGGTAATACTGTAGAGGTTTTGAAATCTGTTTTTGCTGCCCCTAGGGGACTTGTCAGTTAGTTTGGGAGGGTAATTGTTGATGAGTGAGGTATCTTTAGTGTGTCTGGTTTTCTTTGTTAGATCTTCTATTTTGGCAGTAAGTTTTTTGGTCCTTTTCCTCAGGCACCTTGGTAAACCGGCTCTAACTGATATAGGTTGAGACCATTAGAAGTCTAGGTGACGATTTGAATGTGGAGGTTTTCTGTAGGCACTAGTGTCTAAGCTTCCACCTCGTTTCCGTTTCATTCTGCAATCCAGCACCTCATTCTTTCCCCTCCTCTTTTCAGTATAACCCTGACGAGAAAATCTTAAGCAATAATTTGGTTAAAAGTATCAACTTACGGAAAATCCTACTTCATACGTAACATTGGAAGCCGTTAGAATTCTTCGACTGCCTTAGCCCTGATTTCCGACTTTTCGAACAATTTCAACATCATCTCACCTGCCTACTAATACCCTAATTGCTGTGGCATATCATACCTGAAGTACAACAACTGGTCCTCGATTTCTGGTCCGTCATGAATGCAGTGGAAATCTGGATAAGCAAATGAATCTGAAAGATCACTTTACATAAAGGCAATATATCCATAATAATTGTATGTGACAGATTTCTTCTATACTTTGTTTTGCATGAATCCGTGTAATGGAAGTCAATTAGCAGTAATAAAAATGCATTTCCAGCAATGAATTATACGGACACATGCCGTTTTTAAATGCAATATCTGAATGTTATTGCTGCCGGTGAGGCTGAGAAAACTTAGAAAAAATACATTGCCACGCCATTCATAGTCTGGCAGAGGATACGATTATTCGCATGCTGCTGGTCACAAATATTAGATACTAGCCCTTTCGCCACACAACAGTAGTGAACAGTAACATAGGTGTTGTCACCCGGCATGAGCTCTAACCAGGCAAATGTGACTAAGTTTCAACACCTGCCAATAAGTCTCATATACAGTAAAAGTACATA